TACTTCAATATGACTGGAGCGATTTTCAAGCTAAGCCCTTTGGTGTGAGATATGGTGGTCGCAAAATGGCTGTCCACATTGAGAAAAGTCACTATTTTCTAAGAAATCCCACATTGCCTATCTCTAACCTCTTCCTCTTCCCTTCCCCCTATATAAAGACCTATACCCCCTTCCTAAAATTTACAGAAAAAATTGGAGAAAACCAAATTAAAAACAGCAAATTGGAGAAAACCAAATTAAAAATCAAATTGGAGAAAGCCAAGTAAAAAAAACACAAGACACTTGGGCTTGGTTTAAAACGAAGCTAGTGTCATAGTAAAAATTTTTAGTTACTAATTTTCCTTTTGTAGGAAAATTGGGGTGGTCTTGCACAACTTGGCTCCATACACCAAGTTTTGGTCATCTTTGAGGAAAATTGGGGTGGTCTTGCACAACTTGGCTCCATACACCAAGTTTTGGTCATCTTTAAGGTAAGTCCATTTACTCTTTCTCTTAGTTAATAATTTTCTTTATATGTTTTTATGTTCTTTATTTTTTAGGAATCTTCTTATGCTTTTCATGTTTTATTAGATATTCTTTTATATAGCTTATAAATTATATTGGGAATTAATTTAGGCAGGATGCTTTGTTAATCTCATAATTTTTTGATTTATTTTAGCCACTGTAAAATTATTATCTTAAGTAAAATCAATCAACACATAAATATTTTTTACAGAACGACATAGCTTTGAGTTCCCTATTGTACCGAGGGATATGTCGGAGCGGGACCCACCCATCAAACACAAAAATAAATTTTCAAAAATTAGTTTTATTTTGTTAATAAGTTTAGTTCAATTCTTTTGGGGGAAATAGATATTTAGAATTTTATCAATAATTTGCACAATTAATATAAGGTAACCGTTTTTGAAACGGATGTGTCAGGGGTGCTGTGGGATTAAGTTTTCACCCTTCCCTGCGCATAATTAGACTCCTGAACCTTTGATTTATAGTTTTAAAAGACCAGTTTGCAATAAAGGGTTTTCCAATTTTTTCAAAGTAAATAAAATTGGTCGCGACTCCATTGTTTTAATTTTTAAATTTCGGGTCGTTACATTATAAAAGGAATATAAACTGAAAATAAGACATTCCAAAAAGTTACCTATAACAAATGTTAACCCATAACTAGAGAAAATTTACTCACGCTAATGTTTGTTGCAAATCCTCAGCTGCATTTGATGAATTTGACCAAGGAGGAGGCTCGGTGGCTGGCTTCATCGGATGCTGGAAAGGGTTCTCTCTCGATGCATTCTTGGAAAATATCTGCTTCCTATTCTCACGAGCCTTGATATTCTGGGGCATGATGCATTATACAATATTAATATAAGGGAGGAGAAAAATAGTGAGGCATAGGATAAGGATAAATAAACTAAATAAATAAAATGAGTTTTTGATTAAGCAACCTTTGTCCTAGTAGTCAATACATCACGAACAAAGAAAGACACACAGAGAGACACCATTTTTCACCATTGAATCGAATTTGGTGACATGTCAACAAACAGGGTCCCACTAGCATGCAAGCTCTGTTGTAAGATGTTTGGGCCTTGCCCAAATAATAAGGCCCAAAATATAACAATCGTTGGATCTAGGGATCATTTTTTGATTTTTGCGCTTGGTGTTGTTGGGGGTGGTTCAGTGAGTGCTAGCAGGAAGAGAAGAGCAGGAATGGCGGGGAAAGTGGCGAAGGCAGCTTACGATGCGAAGATGGGGAAGCTTCTGAGAGAGTACAATTAGGTGGTGATGGTGGTTGCATCGGATAATATGGGGTCGAACCAGCTTCAAGGGATATGGAGGGGGCTTCACGCTGACTCGGTGGTTGTGATGGGAAAGAACTCTATGATGAAACGCTCTATCATGTTGAATGCTCAGAAGACCGGCAACAACGCATTCCTTAAACTTGTTCCCCTTCTTGTGGTATGCTAACTCTTAATTAACCCCAATCCCTTGCTACCTCAATTCAACGTTTCTTTTACCAGAATATAAATTTTGAAAAAGAATAAGCTTTTTCATTGGATTTTGTAGTTTATTCCTTCAATCAGGGGAACGTGACGTTGATTTTCACAAAAGTTGACATGAGGGAGGTTAGCGAACAGATTGCCAAGCACAAGGTCAAGTAACATGTTCTATTGATTTTAAGGTTTAATAATATATTGTGTGCTATGTAATCATGACCTTAGTTTGATCCATCTTTTGTAATACTTACATAATATTTGCTTAACATTTCCAACACGATACTTGTAGAGGAGCAAAAATCGAGATACTTGTTCTTGCGTGGAACACTTATGGATTCTTTTTACCATTCACTTGGAATTTACTTTGGATTTTTGCCTAAATTGATTTTTTAAGTGAGATTGTTAATCGCAATTTACGTGTCTTGCTTAGGAGCCTTGTAGCAGAGAAGCCATATTTTTGAACATTTAAACTCAATTTTGTGATTTGCTAAGTTTGCACAGTACAATTGTGCTTGTAGGTCCACATGTAAGGGTCCCTAACTTCTCAATGTTACTTGGACATTGATCTTCTGTCATTGCTTGTTCTACACTTTTAGACTTAGCTAAATCATTTGCCAACCACATTTGTTTTTTGCAAGCTGACATTAGACACAAGTTTGGTTCGTCATAAACTCTATAATCATGTTCATTGCTTTGCTCAAAATCTTGATGTGTGTATTTTCAGTTTGCATTAGAACTAAACATTCTTTTATCAAGTTTTTTGGCGGAGCTCTTGAAAATTTTCCGATCTTGCATAAGCTTGACCTATAAATAAATATTTGTCATGTTCACAGTGTGGAAAACTTGTTTTCTTATCAAGTTACACTAACTCATTCTGCAGGTTGTTCATCCTATTCTCATGTGCACCAAGTTCTTGTCGTATGACACATACCACAATTGTTCCTTTTTGCAATCAGGACAATTACCTTTGGGCCTCACGTGTTGTAAGCAGCAGTCTTCTCAGGCTTCTGAGCCTTTTCTTGTATCCTCAAAATTCTTGCCGCACAAACATTGTTACTTGATGAGATCAAGACAGTTCTTGTTGACGAGTTTATGGGCTCATTTTCTCCTTTTGGCTGGTAACTTGTGATGTGGAAGAAGTATCCTAATTTGGATCACATGGTTTATAAATTTATATGAAGGATGACTGTCACGATATTAATTCTTGAGCACTATATGCTCTCAAACTCTTTAGAGTGGAATTCTCCCTTTTCGTGGAACGATGGAGAATGAAAATGATTTTGATCATGGTTTCAATTTGGGAGTTGGTATTCCTGATCTAAGTATTCTTAATTTACTCAGGAATTTATCCTCTGTTTAAATAAGGAGATTAGAACATATTTATTATCTGAATGAGCTATTAGTTTATCTTATAATTACTGTTTTTTTTGGGATGTCTATAAGTACTACATTCTCAATGTCAGAACCATTTACTTGATAACTACTGGCTCAAAAATTGTTTTATTTTATTATGTTATTGATTCAATTTTAACTTTGAAGTTACAGAAGATGAGTTATTATTTACCAAAAAAAGAAGAATACGAGTTATAATTTTTGTACATTTTAAACTGATGGTTCATTTCAATAGGTTTACCCACCATTTATGAAAGAGAATCGGTCGGTTATTTATTAAAGCTCTCAACTTGATCTAGTAAATGATGGTTATCTATTAAATTTTACTTTTTAAACTTTTTTGTTTATCAATGAGTAGTTTTTTTTTCTCTCTCGAGAATAAATCCTTTGCCCTAACGAAGTGAAATCTCTCTTTCCATCCCTCCTTAGTTATAATGATTTGATGTCTAGTTTTTCTTTCTTCTTATTGAAATCGTGCTTTCTACAGGACTTTCGGAATTAATATGAATTATTATATCGTAAAATTTCAGTAGTAGTTGTAACAAAAATGTTTTCCTTCCCAATAATGATTTCGCAGCATTTCTTTCTCCATGTATAACTCAACAATCGACATAATTTATTCCATTTATCTATTTATTTTGCAAACTGGAATTTTATATTTTTGAACATAGAAGGTAATAATTACTTTTGTTCTGGTCGTGCTGTATTGCAAATTAGAACCTACAAAAGGTAATTAAGTTACACTCAATACGAATTATTGCTTGATTCTCAAATATTGTGGTTACAAATACTTTTTATTATGATGATGAATTATTAAAGTAAAAGGTAAAATTATTAAATACAAATTTTAAATAAGGATGAAACTTAAAAATAAATATTAGAACTCTAAAAATATAGCATATTTTTTTTTTTAAAAAAAAAACTCTGAAGCTTTTAGCTTTTACTTTTTTATTCATATAACAGGAAATTAATTTTATAATAAAAGCTTACAAACACGTTAAGCTTTTTTTATAACAAACTGTTTTTACAACGATCTTTTGTAAAAATATGTTAAGCTTCTACTTATAAAAGGAATATAAACTAAAAATAAGACATTCCAAAAAGTTACCTATATCTCCACTCCACCATCCTCTTCTTCTCTTCAATTATTTTTTTTTAGTACATACTTCTCTCCAATTATTGGACATAATATAAGTTTTCATTCATAATTTTCGTGAGCCTTTTTCATAACATTTAAAGATTTTGGAAGAAGAAACTAAATGTAAAATTTATTTTTCATTAAAAAAGCAATAAAAATATGCTTCGAAAACTAAAAAATTGTACAAATTTAAAAATTCTATAAGGAAGGCTTTATATGGGCCTGGGCAATTATAAACTGATTAGATAATAAATTATGAAAAAAATAATTTAAAAATGATCTAAAGTCCATTGGGCTTATCATGAATTATACTAACACCCAATTTCAAAGGTTTTATTCTAAAAAAAAATGATCTATAAGGAAAACCCTAGTTTCCTTCTTCCATCACTATAAATATCTCCGTTTCCACGGTTATCCAATTCCTTTTGTTCCCGCACTAACACTCTCTCCGTTGCAGCTTAACTTTCAAAAGAGTAGGTTAAAGAGACGGCACCGATTTGCTGTCCGCATTGACTGAGCCACTGCTTCGTCTGGCCCTTGATTTTGTTCTGTCAATTTCTCTTACCCTAACCCATACATCTTCAATGGCGGTGAAACCTACAAAGGCTGAGAAGAAGATCGCTTACGATTCGAAGCTATGCCAGCTTCTGGATATGTATTCACAGATCCTGGTCGTGAACGCCGACAACGTCGGATCCAACCAGCTACAGAGCATTCGACATGGATTACGTGGCGACTCGGTGGTTCTCATGGGTAAAAACACGATGATGAAGCGCTCTTTTCGGATTCACTCTGAAAAAACAGGAAACAACGCATTTCTCAACCTGATTCCCCTTCTTGTCGTGCGTTCTCCTCTCTTACCGCAATTTAGGGTTTTACCATTTTATTTATTGACAGGTCTTGAATTCTTCTTTTGAAAGCCGGGTTTTTAGACTGTAATAACTGAGATATCTCGGTCAATATCTTTGTTTAAAGTTCAAACCATTACATGATAATCTTTTCTTCTACTTTTCGAGTAAATTTTGAGTACTATGTATAAACTCCCCTACAAAAATTAGAAATATATGAACTCATCTGACATTAAAAATAAAATAGTGAGTGGAGTAAGTAAAGTTACATGATCATATTTTTTTCATTTTAGTAGGTGTTCTGAAAATTTAATTATTTATCCGTAGTTTTCAGTGTATGCTGGTTGTTTGTTTGTTCCTTTAGTACTGATTAAAAAGCGCCACAGTGGCGACATGTTCTGCACTATTTGCAGTTCGATTTGAATTACCAATTTTTAAGTTTCAAATCATTCAATCGAAATAATAGTACTTCAATATATGCGAAAAACATTTTAGATAAAGTTGTTTATCTATAATCAAAACACATATCTTAGATTTGTTGGTATGGGAAGATTTTGATTCTTAAGACTATAATTTTTTAGGAATGTTAAAATACTCAAATCCGAAAGCGAATTAGATAGGTTCATTAAGAATTCAGACACTAACCGCACAAGAGAGATAAGGCTATAAACTTTGGTTATGCTTGTGGCCTATCGGTGTGCTTACGGCCTCATTTCAATAACTGTTTTTTAGAATAAAAAAACGAACTGATGTTTTAATTTATAGACTAGTTTGTGTTTCGATTACCTTATTTTCGGAAAAACAATTTTTTCCACTCTACGTGTATTTAAACAAAAGGGAATATTTCTCAATGTAATGTGCTACATTGAAAGCATCTGTTATGTTTTTTGACGTTGTTTGGGGAATGTGTCTTATGTATTGTTTGTTGAACCAGGGCAACGTGGGATTGATTTTCACAAAAGGTGACATGAGGGAGGTTAGCGAACAGATTGCCAAGCACAAGGTCAAGTAACATGTTCGGTTGATCTTAAGGTTTAATAATATATTGTGTGCTATGTAATCATGACCTTAGTTTGATCCATCTTTTGCAATACTTACATAATATTTGCTTAACATTTCCAACATGATACTTGTAGAGGAGCAAAAATCTAGATACTTGTTCTTGCGTGGAACACTTATGGATTCATTTTGTCATTCACTTGGAATTTACTTTGGATTTTTGCCTAAATTGATTTTTTAAGTGAGATTGTTAATCGCAATTTACGTGTCTTGCTTAGGAGCCTTGTAGCAGAGAAGCCATATTTTTGAACATTTAAACTCAATTTTATGATTTGCTAAGTTTGCACAGTACAATTGTGCTTGTAGGTCCACATGTAAGAGTCCCTGACTTCTCAATGTTACTTGGACATTGATCTTCTGTCATTGCTTGTTCTACACTTTTAGACTTAGCTAAATCATTTGCCAACCACATTTGTTTTTTGCAAGCTGACATTAGACACAAGTTTGGTTCGAGTCATAAACTCTATAATGATGTTCATTGCTTTGCTCAAAATCTTGATGTGTGTATTTTCAGTTTGCATTAGAACTAAACATTCTTTTATCAAGTTTTTTGGCGGAGCTCTTGAAAATTTTCCGATCTTGCATAAGCTTGACCTATAAATAAATATTTGTCATGTTCACAGTGTGGAAAACTTGTTTTCTTATCAAGTTACACTAACTCATTTTGCAGGTTGTTCATCCTATTCTCATGTGCACCAAGTTCTTGTCGTATGACACATACCACAATTGTTCCTTTTTGCAATCAGGACAATTACCTTTGGGCCTCACGTGTTGTAAGCAGCAGTCTTCTCAGGCTTCTGAGCCTTTTCTTGTATCCTCAAAATTCTTGCCGCACAAACATTGTTACTTGATGAGATCAAGACAGTTCTTGTTGACTAGTTTATGGGCTCCTTTTCTCCTTTTGGCTGGTAATTTGTGATGTGGAAGAAGTATTCTAATTTGGATCACATGGTTTATAATTTTATATGAAGGATGACTGTCACGATATTGATTCTTGAGCACTATATGCTCTCGAACTCTTTAGAGTGGAATTCTCCTTTTTCATGGAATGATGAAGAATGAAAATGATTTTGATCAGGGTTTCAATTTGGGAGTTGGTATTCCTGATCTAAGGATTCTTAATTTACTCAGGAATTTATCCTCCCTTTAAATAAGGAGATTAGAACATATTTATTATCTGAATGAGCTATTAGTTTATCTCATAAATATGTTTTTTTGGTGAGGTCTATAAGTATTACATTCTCAATGTCAGAACCATTTACTTGATAACTACTGGCTCAAAAATTGTATTATTTTATTATGTTGTTGATTCTATTTTAACTTTGAAGTTAGAGAAGATGAGTTATTATTTACCAAAAAAAGAAGATGAGTTATAATATTTGTACATTTTAAACTGATGGTTCATTTCAATAGGTTTACCCATAATTTATGAAAGAGAATCGGTCGGTTTTTTATTAAAGCTCTCAACTTGAGTATATATGTCTAGTAAATGATGGTTATCTATTAAATTTTACTTTTTAAACTTTTTTGTTTATCAATGAGTAGTTTTTTTTTTCCTAACGAAGTGAAATCTCTCTTTCCATCCCTCCTAAGTTATAATGATTTGATGTCTAGTTTTCCTTTCTTATTGAAATCGTGCTTTCTACAGGACTTTCGGACTTAATATGAATTATTATATCGTAAAATTTCAGTAGTAGTTGTAACAAAAATATTTTCCTTCCCAATAATGATTTCGTAGGATTTCTTTCTCCATGTATAACTCAACAATCAACATAATTTATTCCATTTATCTAATTATTTTGCAAACTGGAATTTTATATTTTTTGAACATAGGTGGTAATAATTACTTTTGTTCTGGCTGTGCTGTTATTGCAAATTAGAACCTGCAAAAGGTACTGAATACGAATTATTGCTTGATTCTCAAATATTGTGGTTACAAATACTTTTTATTATTATGATGAATTATTAAAGTAAAAGGTAAAATTGTTAAATACAAATTTTAAATAAGGATGAAACTTAAAAATAAATATTAGAACTCTAAAAATATATTATATATTTTTTTTTTAAAAAAAAATTCTGAAGCTTTTAGCTTTTACTTTTTTATTTATATAACAAGAAATTATTTTTATAATAAGACATTCCAAACAAGTTAAGCTTTTTTTATAACAAACTCGTTTTACAACGAACTTTTGTAAAAATATGTTAAGTTTCTACTTATAAAAGGAATATAAACTAAAAATAAGACATTTCAAAAAGTTACCTATATCTCCACTCCACCATCCTCTTCTTCTCTCCAATTATTTTTTTTTAGTACACACTTCTCTCCAATTATTGGACATAATATAAGTTTTCATTCAAAATTTTCGTGAGCTTTTGTCATAACATTTAAAGATTTTTGAAGAAGAAACTCAATGTAGAATTTATTTTTCATTAAAAAAGCAATAAAAATATGCTTCGAAAACTAAAAAATTGTACAAATCTAAAAATTCTGTAAGGAAGGCTTTATATGGGCTTGGGCAATTATAAACTGATTAGATAATAAATTATGAAAAAAATAACTTAAAAATGATCTAAAGTCCATTGGGCTTATCATGAATTATACTAACACCCAATTCCAAAGGTTTTATTCTAAAAAAAATGATTTATAAGGAAAACCCTAGTTTCCTTCTTCCATCACTATAAATATCTCCGTTTCCACGGTTATCCAATTCCTTTTGTTCCCGCACTAACACTCTCTCCGTTGCAGCTTAACTTTCAAAAGAGTAGGTTAAAGAGACGGCACCGATTTGCTGTCCGCCTTGACTGAGCCACTGCTTCGTCTTGGCCCTTGATTTTGTTCTGTCAATTTCTCTTACCCTAATCCATACATCTTCAATGGCGGTGAAACCTACAAAGGCTGAGAAGAAGATCGCTTACGATTCGAAGTTATGCCAGCTTCTGGATATGTATTCACAGATCCTGGTCGTGAACGCCGACAACGTCGGATCCAACCAGCTCCAGAGCATTCGACATGGATTACGTGGCGACTCTGTTGTTCTCATGGGTAAAAACACGATGATGAAGCGCTCTGTTCGGATTCACTCTGAAAAAACAGGAAACAACGCATTCCTCAACCTGATTCCCCTTCTTGTCGTGCGTTCTCCTCTCTTACCGCAATTTAGGGTTTTACCATTTTATTTATTGACAGGTCTTGAATAAATCATGATTAGTCTTATTTTACCGCACAAGAGAGATAAAGCTATAAACTTTGGTTATGATGTTTAGTTTAGATCTTGTGGCCTATCGGTGTGCTTACGTCCTCATTTCAATAACTGTTTTTTAGAATAAAAAAACGAACTGATGTTTTAATTTATAGACTAGTTTGTGTTTCGATTACCTTATTTTCGGAAAAACAATTTTTTCCACTATACGTGTATTTAAACAAAAGGGAATATTTCTCAATGTAATGCGCTACATTGAAAGCATCTGTTATGTTTTTTTTGACGTTGTTTGGGGAATGTGTCTTATGTATTGTTTGTTGACCCAGGGCAACGTGGGATTGATTTTCACAAAAGGTGACCTGAAGGAGGTTAGCGAAGAGGTTGCCAAGTACAAGGTGAAGTAATCTTTCCCCAATTTTTGTATTCTTATGTTTTTTCTGTATGCTATATGAAATGATAATGTTGCTCGGTTTTTTGTGCCGCCTGAGTTGCGGTACTTTAATGTAAATCCATCACCGGCAAGTGGCTAGCAATATCTTTACTGGATAGCTTGTGAATTTCTCTCTTGAGCATGAACTGTTCACTATGGTTATTGTTTTTTTAAGTTCGGATTTACCTTCCAATTATTCCAAGATGCAGTTCATATATTTGATTCTTGTACATTTTGTTTATACGTTGTGAATTACTATTAATTCTATGTTAGTCGTTGTCATTTTCATGTCTTCAAGGTTGTGGAAGTTGTTCCGTACTTTTGGCACTAGATTAGTTAATTTTACTTCTCTATTTTGCAGAATTTTGCTTTCCCCACCTAATGAGATATTCTGGTTGCAGTGTTTTGTTTTTGTTGGCTGAATTTCCTATTATTATTGATTGTAAATATCCTTTTTCTATATTCTGTTGAAATATTTTGTTTCTTGTTTGAAAAATTCAGTGGTGAGCTAACATGTGCTCCCTTTTCTTGTTATTTAAATATTCATCCACTGATTATTGTCTTTAATCCGATCAGGTGGGAGCTCCTGCCCGTGTTGGTCTGGTTGCTCCAATTGATGTTGTTGTTCCTCCTGGCAACACAGGGCTTGATCCCTCGCAGACCTCTTTCTTCCAGGTTTGTAATCTTGTTCCTATAGAACTTGAATTTTTTTCTTGTGGATGTCATGTTTATGTCTATTCTCCTTTCAGGTGCTCAATATTCCAACAAAGATTAACAAGGGTACTGTCGAAATCATTACCCCTGTTGAACTGATTAAGAAAGGAGACAAGGTCGGCTCTTCTGAAGCTGCATTGCTTGCCAAACTCGGCATCAGGCCTTTCTCATATGGGCTTGTTGTACTATCCGTGTATGATAATGGTTCAGTCTTTAGCCCTGAGGTCCTCGACCTTACTGAGGATGACCTCACGGAGAAGTTTGCTATTGGTGTCTCAATGGTTACATCTTTGTCATTGGCCGTTGGATACCCAACTCTTGCAGCTGCACCACACATGTTTGTGAATGCCTACAAGAACGTTCTTGCTGTTGCAGTTGCGACAGAATATTCTTTCCCCCAGGCAGACGAGGTTAAGGAGTTCTTAAAGGTATATGTTTCAACATTTTGATGATCTGACAATAATATATTGGTCCATTATTTCTATCTTTCTTATATACGAATTGTTATGTTAAATGCAGGACCCAAGTAAATTTGCTGTAGCTGCTGTTGCAGCACCTGCTGCAGCTTCTGGTGGTGCCCCAGCTGCTGCTGCTGCTGCCAAGGAAGAGGAAAAGAATGACGAGCCAGCTGAAGAATCTGATGATGACATGGGTTTTGGCTTGTTTGACTAGTTTATGTCTGGTTTTGTTGGAGTTTGGTGCTAGTATATTTCATTTTAGTCTTGTTAGCGCTTTCTCATTCTAAGTGTTATTGTAGTTTGCTGTTTTTCCTTTCCATATTGTGACTCGTTTTATAATTTTTTAATTTCCTAGTTATAATTAATTCTGGCTTAACTTTGTTCCTATCACGGTTATAACATTCTTGTTTTGGTTGAAATATTACTTAATTTGCGGTTTTTACTTTTTAACGTGAATTTTAATGGCGATTGTTAATTTCATGAATTCATGTTCCTTAATGATGATTTTAAGCATGAACTAGTGACCATGTTAGATCACGACTTCCTCCTACCTGGACAGTGCTATAATTTTGTGTTAAGGAGGTGGAGGGGTTGCATTACTGATTTTTTTTTTTTTAAATTATCTTTAATTTGAATGAATTGTTTCTAATGTGAAGGTTCTTGATTAACTGTGCTGTAGTATTGATTTGTTTAATCATCTTGACTGTCTGAGCAAAGACATTGTTACACATTATTCGTGATTTTGTCTTTTTATTCTGCTTAATTGCTTAAAACGTTCTCTAGCTGCGAACGATACGAAACCTTCAGCAAAATACAATATTTTAAGGAACAAAGCGTTGCCAACTTTCCCCAATATTCAAGTTCAATTAGTTTTTCAAGTATTGGAAAAAGTCGTCTAAATTAGTTTATTTTTGAAATGAGCAGGGGTATGCTTTTTATTGAACAGTTTGAAATTAAATTGAAGCTGAACATAGATTTATTAACTGACTAAAAATGAGCTCAATTTTATAGATAGGCTTCCTAGACATTAAATGATTATGGCGTGAAGCTGGTTATGAGGCAGTTAAGAGCATTTTATGCAGTGCGTTTGGTCAGTGAATTCATATACTCAGGCAAGGCCTGCTTTTGAAATGCGGGCAAAATATTATTTTCAATGTTTTTATATACTGCGACAAATTCTTTGAATTAAAAATGCATTTTCAATTCACCAAAAAAAAAAAATGCATTTTCAATTTACAAATTTGCAGTTGTTTAAATGAAGTTATACTTTTATATTCTTTATATTTAATATGATTGAATTAAATTTTGTTGTTATAGAGTGTTTTTTAAGTATTTCTAAGTTAGTTGAATTCTATTCTCTAATAATTCTATGTCATCAACAGGCTTAAACCATTTTAAACTTAATCAAATATTCATGGAGTGAAATTTGAAACACAAATAAAAAAGTGCATTATTATCTCTACTTCGTCATGAATCTCATGATATAGGAGTGTTTTGTTAATCCACGTTTCTTATTACAAATTAAAATATAGAATGTTGGTGCTACCATCTAAACTTACAGTGTTGGAAGTCAAATTTGATTTTGATCACGTTTTAACTAGTCGTTATTTAAAGTCTAAATAAACCTATTGTTTTCTACTTATAAAGTCTAAATAAACCTTACTATGTAAATAAACCTATTGCCACAGCGTTGGGAGTTGGGACTTTGGAAGATGAGATTAGTATTCAAAATGAAGCCAACAAAAAAAACTGTGGATGGATGAAGTTGCTGCTCTTCTAGAACACTCTTTACCAGCTTTGATTTACTTACACATTAATTAAATATATGAATAAAAAAATAGGTATTTTAAATTCTCCATTTCTACCATATTGCTGTTTACTTTGGATGCCTTTTGAGCTCCAGTTGCTTTTGCAGTGCATTGTCGCAATGGATGTGGATACTAAAAAAGTTAATAGTAAAGACCCAAATTGGTCCCTGACAAAAAATTTGGTGCCCAAATTAGTCCCTTTCAAAAATAAACTCGTTAAATAGTCCCCAACAAAGTGAAACAGGACCCACGTTAATCCTTCTGTCAATTCAAAACTGACGGTGTCACTGACGGTGCTGATGTGTAACGTTAAGCGACATGTTGAACGACACGTTGGAGATGGAACGACGTCGTTTGGAGAGAGCACATCCACGTTGGTCAGAATCCTTTGAAGAAACCCAATCGAACGTCAAGTTGTCCTTCCCTCTCAATTTTTTATAAGGACCATCGTTGTATGGTTTAGGGTTCTTCTTAAACCAGAGAGAAGGGAATGGAATTGAAGATTGAACGTTTGAATTTGGGGATTACTGATTTAGGGTTTATCCTCAATTTGGTGTTTTATTTGAAACTTAGTGTTTAGGAGATGAATATTTCTTCTGGGAGGGGGAGCTCAAGCCCTTGTAGTTCATTTGGGTCCAGAAGTGAAAGAAGGAGAAATGTGGGAGACACAATGTTGTTTACACCTCCAAAACTATTAGAAACCCAAATAGAGCATTTTTTGGGTGCCCCAATTTCAAGGTGAGATGTTTTTTTGCATGCGTTAACTGTATAATTTGAATGTTATTAATAGTTTGGTTTAATTTGGTGTTAGGAAAAGAAGCCACACTGTAAATTTTTTACATTGGTGGATGATGCTACAACTGATACCATGGAGCTGGAAGATTGGAGAATTAATAAGCTGGAGTTGAATGTAGCTGAAATGGAATTCAAGTTGAACTTTGTGGACATCAAGAGCAGCCGCCATGGGTTCATGATGCTAGGGTGGAGAAGGGGTAGAGAAGGAGAAGGAAATTAAGCATGTGTGTAGGTGTGATAAGGTGTTTGCTGGATCCATTATTGTTGTGTTTGTAATATGTATATATCTTGCAAGTAGACTGGAGTGAAATATATGGTGTGGTTCTGTTTTGATTTGCTAGTGTATGTACCATTACATGTTGTAACATTTTTGGAATGTAAAGATTTGTAATGGAAGGAGCAGTGTTGAAATTTAATGAATTGTTGTTCATACAATGTATATAACATGGCTTATGTATTTGAAGTTATGTTTATTGGCACAAAGTGTTCTATAAACTTGATGCAGATAAAAAGATTGCTGGTCTGTTAATAGCAAATGTACATTCTTGATAGTCATGATTAATATCAGCCATGTACAAGGGAAAATGTCATGGCTGGTCTGTTAATAGCAAACGTACATTGTTGTTAACAGAAATATAACAGGGACTATAAAGGATCCCGATAATTTTGTTAGGGACCAAAATGGGCCTCTGAATTATAAAACAAGGACTAAAAAGGTCATCGATAGAAAATGTTGAGGACTTATAAGGCCACATAATTGCAAATGGTTTACAAGTGCAGTGAAGCTACATTGAATACATTAATGACACAAAACATTATTGGACTCAGCAAACAGAACAACACAAACTTTACAAACAGGGAACTTATGATGGACATTCCCAAACAGAACAAAAAATACCATTTCATCAGGAGAAACCATTGTTGACAGAAACAGAACTTATTTTTTTTACATTGAATCTACAGTGAAGGTACAATGTGAAAATAGATGGCTGATAATGGACGCAACAAACAGAACAAAAAATACCATTGTTGACAGAAACCACAAAGTGTATCAGCAGACAGTAGGTGTGGACCAAAATTTAAAAATTGCAGCATTGAATACATTAATTACACAGAACACAGATAGTAAGCAAACATTGTTGTATTCATTTCATCACATCCTAGTTACATTTACTAACCATGGCCAACATGCCACAGTCATACAAAAAAATCCCACTGACATATTTCCATGAAGGCCAATACTTCTGTTCCAAAAAATCATAATGTTCCTACTAACTATGGCCATAACCAGAGGCATACAAAAAATGTCCTAATGGCATATTTCAACAGGGCCAATACCGAAGTATTTCCAAAAAAATACCCTAATTACAATTCCAATAAATTCCTATATTAGAGGCATCCAAAAAATGGCTTAATGTCAGTGCATCTGAATGGATTCCAATCAATTCTGTGGGGCTGGTCTTGGTGGCTTGAACCCTGGTGTAGACATGAAGCTCATGAATCTAGCCCTGGTGCCACTACTTGCTGCAGTAACTGTTTCATTGGTCACAACCTCAGTAAGATTGCATGGAGGTGGACTGCTGCCTCTTGATGCTCTTGAACTTGGTTGAGCCTCAATTGTTGCATGCTGGTTGCTTGTGTGTGTTGAGTGTGTTGTAGCATCATCGACTCATGTTAAAAAAGTTGCATTGCGACTTTGTTTTCCTAACACCAAATTAAACCAAACTATTAATAACATTCAAATTAGATAGTTAACGCATGCAAAAAAAATCTCACCTTGAAATTGGGGCACCAAAAAATGCTCTATTTGGGTTTCTAATGGTTTTGGAGGTGTAAACAACATTGTGTCTCCCACATTTACACAATAGAACAACTCTCCTTCTTTTACTTCTGGACCCAAATGAACTACAAGGGCTTGAGCTCCCCCTCCCAGAAGGAATATTCATCTCCTAAACACTAAGTTTCAAATAAAACACCAAATTGAGGATAAACCATAAATCAGTAAACCCTAAATCAGTAATCCCCAAATTCAAACGTTCAATCTTCAATTTAATTCCCTTCTCTCTGGTTTAAGAAGAACCCTAAACCATACAATGATGTTCCTTTGAAAAATTTGTGAGGGAAGAACAACTTGACGTTCGATTGGGTTTCTTCAAAGGATTTTGACCAACGTGGATGTGCTCTCTCCAAACGACGTCGTTCCATCTCCAACGTGGCGTTCAACATGTCACTTAACATTACACATCAGCACCGTCAGTTTTGGATTGACAGAAGAACTAACGTAGGTCCTGTTTCACTTTGTTGGGGACTATTTAACGAGTTTATTTTTGTAAAGGACTAATTTGGACACCGAGTTTTTTGTCAGAGACCAATTTGAGTCTTTACTCAAAAGTTAATTAACACGCGAGGAGATGTGAAAACCAGACTCATCTGATTCAATCACATATCTCAGGAATAGGTCCCTTCTTAGATAAATATTTAAACGATAAATGTAATTCATAAGTTATTTTTTTTAATCTGGCTAATTAAATCTTTTTTAGATATGACTCTATAGCTCAATTTTTAAAAATTAAAAATAAAGAAAAACAAAGTGGATCTGAGTGCGTTTTCTGGTCCCTCTTTTTTTCAGCAATACATATCCACCCATCAATATCGCAAAATTTACATCACGACACCCCATCGTTCTGACTAATCACGAAGAACGACGTCGTTTGCAATTCTCATCAACGGTTGCAGTGCGTCGGCGGCGAACTTCCTTGCGAACAAAAACGGATCACGGCGTCTGTTACCGTTACCGTCACCGTACCTAGGCATATCTGACTTCATCCTCAAGATCAGTTCGGGCTCCACTTCCCACGCCTCGTACGTCCTAGGATGTCCATCCACACGCCCCGTCCAATTCACGTGCGTGAGCGTGGCGGGCACGCACTCCTCAGGGTCCCGCATCCGCATGTTTAAAAGGGTAGGGAAATAATTTTCGTCGGGGTAACACGTGTCACGCTGTACGCACGGCACGTTAAACTTGGGCCAAAGCGTGCTGTCACTCACAACAAGCCTCGCGTGCTGACGTGTCAGCGCCCAAAACTGCGACCCAATGCGGAACTCCTCAAGCTTCACCTCAGGCAGCATCGCGTGAGGTCCACGCGCCGCCCAACGGTCATAACTACCGGTCTCATTGGCAAGGATCTCGATGAAGCTCTTGCCGGAGTGAACGAGCGCGTGGTAGGTGAAATTGAAGGAGTGGAGGGGAATGCAGGAGGGAGAAAGGAGCACGAAGACGGAATTGGAAGGGTCGTGGATGAGCGCGTTGGCGAGTAAGCGACGCGCCGCCGCGACAAGCGTGGGAGAGAACCGCTGTGTACGTTTAGAAAGGATGACGCGGTTGGAGAAGACACCGGAGAAGGGTGGGTGGTAGGAGAAAGTGGGGTCGGCGTGAACGTAAACGTTGAAAAGTTTCGTGTGTGTTTGGTTGAAGTAAATTTCCCAGAGTGGCGCGAATGGGAGGGGCGTGGTGGTTAGAAACATGAAAGCTATCTTTTTGGGCCAAGTGGGTTTCGCACTCACTTGGGTGGCTACCCTGAATAGCAGCAAGTCATCGTCGTCCGGTGGCGGTGGCGACGCTGGTTGCTGTAATTTGTTGTTGGGTTTTTCGGAGATGCTAATGTTTTTGAGATTTGGGTTTGGTTTGTTAAGGATGACGTGGATGGGGTTAGCGGTTGTGGCATGTTTGTGGTTTGCGGTGGTGGTGAATATGACGGCTAAAGGTAAGCAGAGAAGTAATGCACAGAGTAGAGAGAGTGGGTTGGGAGATAACATTTCTGTCCTCAATATTCAATAATCTTCCTTTTGCTATTTTTTTATTTATTTTTTTTGTATTTTTTTACTTTCAAAATTGGAACATAGGATAGGAGATAGAAGGGGAAACAATGTAGAGAGCAGAGACTACTAGGAAGAGATGGAGAAGACTTTGGTTTAGAATTTGGATCATCAAACAGCATTAATTTCTCTGTTGTAATTATTTGTTTGGTTTTGTTTTTTGGGTTTTTCAATTTTGGATACTCTAGGACTGTCACAGACCCGTTTGGAAACGTGGCTGCGCCCTCTGACTAAGAAAGAGCTTTCGTTTTGTTTGATTCTGCATGCTCCTGACACGTACACAAACGCTGTCAGACTGCAATTTGATCTCACAAAAAATAAAAAACTAATTTATGTTTTAAGGTTTGTTTCTAAGACAAGCATGGTTTGATATATGTATTTTAGATCGTATTGTCTCGAAAGAAATATTCTTGATCACCAATTAATAACATCAGTTTTGGAAGTTTGTAGCTGGACTGCTGGATTTAATTTGGATCATCTGTTTGTTTATTTTTTGAGATATGAACTAAATGTTATAGACTCGGATTACTGAACCACACATGATTGATCTAATGTTGATTTTTTTTTTTTTTTTTTTTTTATAATTTGGTAATAGAAAATGGGTTTTATATTTCTCAAGTTACATGAGAATTAAAATCTTATGTTGTAGAGACAAAAAACATGTGAGACTCGTATGTTAGAAAAAATTATGTATAGGACCCACGTCAGTACGAAAATCGAAGAGTGTGTTGGAAGATTTCAATTCTCATGTTGAATCCTTAATTATAAAACCCATAAAAAATATGGGATAATGGTAAAACATTGATTACAGTAGAAAATTGTTTAGGCCTTTTGCCACGTGATTGATCTGGTTAATTTTTATTTTATGCATTCATTCAGATATAAACATTGTATTAGCGAATGATTCAAAGCCATTTTGTCAGTATCACCTGGTCTCCTGCATTGTATATAAACTAATAGGCAAATAGATAGATGAACGGAGGTATGAAAAGAACCTTTATAAATCATAAATAGAATATTGAGTACTTATGCAGGATGACAATGCACTAAAAAGATAGACAGATACAACCCCAAAAAAAAAAAAGATAGACAGATACGACGAAGAAATGAAGTTGGATTAGCTACAATACAATTATGTTTGATTAAGAATGAAGTAGAATGGGAAAAAAATAAAATCAAATTGTAGCAAAAAATAAATAAAGAATTCAATGAGGATTAATTCTATTCATGCAGGGTTCTGTTTTTCCCCTTCTTTATCTGCAATGTTGGTGGAGCAAAATTGGGTGGAAAAAAATATGTACATGGACATTGGCTTGTGTACATAAATTATACCAATTTCTTTCATTTTCGTTTAAAATCCACTCCACTAATATAGAGCAACATATATAAGAATCAGCCTCAAGGGGATAATTATTCTACGAGTGATGCTCAAGTATTCCATGAGCTGTAAGTTCAAGGTCATAAAAGATTCAGCGCATGTTTTTGGGGTCACAAGGTCAATGTTTGGATTGTTATACTATTAACCCCTAGTTATATAATTAGGCTTGTAAAGGTCCCCTACTGAAGAGAGACTAAGAAGAAGAATCTCAAGGCAAGGATGATGAATGGAAGTCAATCTGCAGTAGCTTGTGAAGATAAGGATTAGAAATATTCACTTTATTTTCCTCCTCCTTCTCTAGTTGCCTAAGAGGTATGGCAGCAAGAAAGCGTTTGATGAACTCTTTACAACACTCTTTTCCACTGCAAACTATCTCAAGGCTTTTCTCTTCACTTCCCTTTGTAGGGTCCTCCTCTACTTCCTCTACTCTTGCATGCATCAAACTCGAACCATCAAACTTCAATATGAATGCCTGTTGGCACCCTTCAAAAAGCCTTTCCCCCAAAGTGTCAATTATATAATAAGCATCTGCTTCCACCTTCAGAACAAAGAAATGATCGTTCCAACTTACAATGTAAATTCTTGGCTCGTAATTAACCACTTTATTTCTATTTATATCATCCCAAATCTCATCAAAGGACATAGCTCCTATCAAGCACTGGAACTTCTCAGGGGAGAAAAACCCGGTGTATGATTCTTGAGGCAGAACAACCAGAGGCCTCAGATTGGCTTCCAAGACCGTCTCTAAATCAAAATGTTTATCTGGGAAGAGGTTTAAGTAGGCATCACTGTGACATAGCCTTCTCCATTCAGATGAGCCTTGTGTGATGAGGCTATCAAATTGAGCTCTTGTTAGCATGTCCTGGCTGGAATGAAGCCAGTGAGATATGAACACAACTAGTGCTGTGCAGGCACTCTCACCCGAGGCTTGTTTTCTCCGTTGGTCAAAGGAAGCAAAGAACACATTGGTTTGAAGCTTTGTTTTCCCATCTCTGTTCCAAATTTCCCTATTTTCCCTGCTACTTGCACCGCAATTATTGTCATGAAGGCATGGTCTGGTAGATACTTCATCTGATTTCTGCAACAATTTTACAATACCAAATTGTTATTTAGTCTAGCAAAAGTGACCAATTAACTGAACAGGTGGGGGTGAGAGTATCTGTTTGATCTTTGAGAAAAGTATTGTCTTTGAGAGGAGTTTAAAACTTTAATTCCGGGACCCGTCCTGAATTAAACTAATCGCGAAAGGATGAACCAATTGGAATATAGCCAAAAAAAAAAGTGACAGATTAGATGATGATATTGTTACATACCATACAATGACTTGAATGGTAGGTCAAATTCTCTTGTTTCCTTGTGGATGTTTTGAAACTCCATCCCTTGAAACCTCTATTCCTTGACAACATTGACCAACTCCTCTGGACTGTGTCCAAACGGGTCTCTGTATCTGAACCTATAAACCTCTCAGACTCGTTTGTAACTCTTGATCCTGCATAGTACTGAATTGCAGTGTTACTGCTGCTGCCACTGCTTGTGGTAGACTCATAAGATGAGTCATCCGAGTCAAACACATCTGAGTCGTCCGATTCATAAGGACTCGGTTGCTCAACTTGATCAACATTCCCATTATTTTTCTTCCCAAGGCTTGTCAAATACTTCACTATGTTTTCAAAGGTTCTTGGCGAGTCATCATGAATACTCATCAGTTTCAATAAGCTCAAAGAGACCTGCTCCAATAATCCATTATAAGAGTTGTTGTTTATTTTCTCTGTGACATTGCTGTAAATGCGCTTTAAATAAAGAGAATTTAAGATATAATTATTTTAATGGATAACTAATTCTACTTTTGCTACAGAAATAGAATACTTTTCTCCTTTAAAAGGAGAGAAGAGTTGTCTACTAGTGAGACAAAAAAGTGGAACCAGCAATTAAAAAAAAAGTAAAAACAAAAATAAAAGCTTGACACGGAAGTCGATGTATGTGTAGGAATAAAATATTGTCTCATATGTTATCAAAAAAAAGAATATATATTGTCTCATATGAAAGGAGAAAAGTATTTCCCATAAAAATAAAAATAAGTGAGTTTCATAAAAAAATAAAATAAACCCTTATCTAAAACAAAAAAAAAAGAGGAAAATTGAGTTGGAGCATACCGAAAATGTGGCTTCCATATACAAACCATGTACTTTCAATTGAATTGGAAGCGTTCTTTGAACCTCCCCAACAAGTAACTCCGTCACGGCAACGCTCATGTAAACTTTTCCTACCACCGCCATTTTAGGTTTGTTTTCTCCTGAATCACCCTCTCCCTGCATTTCATTTCCAGACAAGTTTTAAACACACAGACACAGATACAAAGATACATAAACATATGAAAAATAATATAAAAAAAATGAAGAAAACATAACATGTTCTTACATATAATACATGAAATGTCATGTCGCACGCACCACATAAGGACCCATGTTTGAGGAGGAGATGAAAACCGGAGAGGTCACGTGCGTCCCATACAATGGTTGGTGTCTTCGAAGAGAGGAATCTCTGGGGTGAGGTGGTGTGAGTGGGTTTTGGTTTCAAGGTACGATGAATAAAGGGAAGAAGTTACTTGAAGTTGAAGAAACTTTGACTTTCTTTGTAGCTGTTCCCGTTATCTGAATGGCCATGTTGTCATTTGAAGCAGCCACCTCGGCTCCAAACAGTCCTAATTCAAGCTTCAATTGTGTCACCTTAACCTCGTACTTGTCTTTCTGCCCCGAAAATCTTGGTCTCCAGTACCTCCTCATGTTCATCATCGATCTTGCACTTCTTTAATTAATTTCTTCAATATCTTTGATCAGAAAAACATGCCACGGATTGAAGTGAACCGAAAGGAAAAACAAATTACAAGCTAGGTTCCAATGAATCTTAATTTGGCAAGTCATAGCTAGTGTTGCATTTAATTTATAGTAGCTGGTGTATGCATAATATTAGTAACGCACGCGTAATTGCTATTTAGTTTTTTTGTTTTATTTTTTTGTAATTTATGTTTATAAAGGCAAAAGTAAGGTGAACGTTGTCCATAATATAAACCACGTGATTGAAAGTGTTGGGATTAAAAGGAGAAGATCAGGGAGAGGAGCAAAATCAAAAAAAAGGATAATGATGTGGCTGAAATGATTGGCCAATTAATGATGCACGATTCCGCTGAATGGATGAGCGTCAAATCCTCACACAAAAGGATACACGGAAGCGCGTCCTACTCATTTCTTCTTTTGCCTCAAAGCACTAGTGCAGCACCACCTTGCATTTCACGAGTTTCTTTTTAAAAAATTTATATGAAATAGAATGTTTAAATTAAAATAGAGAACATATTTAACATTGAAAAATATGATAATTAGATTAAAAGAATTTAAATTTTAAATATTACAAAAATAACATGTTTCATTATTTGAGAAAAACAAAATAATAAATGAAATTATTATATACTTTTACTTAATAAATATTAAGGACGTATTATTAAATCTTGTCTTTATTTTTTGACAACTTTTGTGTGGTTCACTGTTCACCACAGAGATCTTTTGTT